GAGCTGTGGTGCAGCAACAGCTGACCATGGTGCAGCAACAGCTGACTGTGGTGCAGCAGCAGCTGACTGTGGTGCAGCAGCAGCTGACCGTGGTTCAGCAACAGCTGACTGTGGTGTAGCAGCAGCTGACCATGGTGCAGCAACAGCTGACAGTGGTGCAGCAGCAGCTGTGGTACAGCAACAGCTGACCGTGGTGCAGCAGCAGCTGACTGTGGTACAATAGTATTTCTCACCCTTTTTACCACAGGGTTGGCACTAGAAGCTTTCTTTGGGCCCATGGTGGCTTATTTAGCAGTTACAAGCACTATAATACTTGACGTGCTGTTGGAGTGTGAGCAAAGTAACATTTATGAAGGGATTCAGGGAAACCGGCAGGCCGGACTTGAGTCCTGGAGATGGGAAGTACAGTGCCTGCACTCTGAAGGAGGGGTGTTAATGTTGCAGTTTAAAAACTGTAGTGTAAAGCACCCTTCTGGCAAGACAGTGATGGAGTGAATGATGGTGAAAGTTTTTCTTTTTCGGGCCACCCTGCCTTGGTGGGAATCGGCCGGTGTGATAAAAAAAAAAAAAAAAAAAAAAAAGCACTATAAACAATGGAATAATACAAAATGCATGCAACCGGCCACCCTGGCTTGTAAACAGTGACGGCAGTCCAGCTGATGCGCACAGGCTGGGCGGACAGGTTTGGGAGGAATAACGTTTGGCAAGTTTTTTATTGTGAGGCGAGGCAAAATTTTTTCATTAAAATGTATCGTATAGCGGGTTTAACGTAACGCGATGCCATCGTATGGCGGGGGTCCACTGTATTTCCCATAAGAAAAAATGTAAATCCAATTAATCCATTCCAGACACTCAAAAATATTAAAAAAAATACATTTTATGGAGAACAGCTATAGTTTTACATTCAGAAAAGGGATTATAAAATTCGAGGGTCCACTGTATTTGACTGACTCCACTACTACTACTACTACCTCCACCACTACCTCTCTTGCTCCCGTCATTGTCTGCTGGCCTATGTATATTCCCTCCCTCCTCTTCTTCCTGTTAGTGTGACTTTGTAAATGGTCCAAGTTGGATTGCAACGTCGTCATAAGCTCCTCTCTTCTATGTGTGGGTTATATGTGTATTGTTCCAGTCATGGTATTGTGCCTTGTTTTGTTACATATAATATATATGAAAAACATGCAGGATCCTCCTTTATCCTAAGCACATACAGTGGCACCTTTATTATCCGCACACTTCTGTTCCTGTCTGTATATGGATAGGTATCAGAGTTAATTTTGACAGGTAGCTGGGACTCTCCAGCTGTGACCCTTGTAGGAAAATAAGACCTGAGAGTAATTAAATCAAATAAGTTTTTATATAAGCAATTATAAAAAGAGAATTAGCAAAATCGAAGTATCTTTAAGTGTTTGTGTGGTACACAAATAACCCGCACATAGAAGAAAGGAGCTTACGATGAGCTCCTCTCTTCTATGTGCGGGTTATTTGTGTATTGTTCCAGTCACGGTATTGTGCCTTTTTGTTATTTATTGTTTGTGTGGTTTAATAAGAATATCTAACTTGAGTAGTAGGGAGTAGTAGGTAAATTTGGGGTGCCAGGGGTAAATGTAAATGGGGAGCCTTTAATTGAGCTATGTGTAGAAAGAGATTTGGTAATAAGTAATACATATTTTATGAAAAAGAGGATAAATAAATATACAAGGTATGATGTAGCACGTAATGAAAGTAGTTTATTAGATTATGTATTGGTGGATAAAAGGTTGATGGGTAGGCTCCAGGATGTACATGTTTATAGAGGGGCAACTGATATATCGGATCATTATTTAGTTGTAGCTACAGTTAGAGTAAGAGGTAGATGGGAAAAGAGGAAGGTGGCAACAACAAGTAAGAGGGAGGTGAAAGTGTATAAACTAAGGGAGGAGGAAGTTCGGGTGAGATATAAGCGCCTATTGGCAGAAAGGTGGGCTAGTGCAAAGATGAGTAGTGGGGGGGTTGAAGAGGGTTGGAATAGTTTTAAAAATGCAGTATTAGAATGTGGGGCAGAAGTTTGTGGTTATAGGAGGGTGGGGGCAGGAGGAAAGAGGAGTGATTGGTGGAATGATGAAGTAAAGGGTGTGATAAAAGAGAAAAAGGTAGCTTATGAGAGGTTTTTACAAAGCAGAAGTGTTATAAGAAGAGCAGAGTATATGGAGAGTAAAAGAAAGGTAAAGAGAGTGGTGAGAGAGTGCAAAAGGAGAGCAGATGAAAGAGTGGGAGAGGCACTGTCAAGAAATTTTAATGAAAATAAGAAAAATTTTTGGAGTGTGTTAAACAAGTTAAGAAAGCCTAGGGAAAGTATGGATTTGTCAGTTAAAAACAGAGTAGGGGAGTTAGTAGATGGGGAGATGGAGGTATTAGGTAGATGGCGAGAATATTTTGAGGAACTTTTAAATGTTAAGGAAGAAAGAGAGGCAGTAATTTCATGCACTGGTCAGGGAGGTATACCATCTTTTAGGAGTGAAGAAGAGCAGAATGTAAGTGTGGGAGAGGTACGTGAGGCATTACGTAAAATGAAAGGGGGTAAAGCAGCTGGAACTGATGGGATCATGACAGAAATGTTAAAAGCAGGGGGGGATATAGTGTTGGAGTGGTTGGTACTTTTGTTTAATAAATGTATGAAAGAGGGGAAGGTACCTAGGGATTGGCAGAGAGCATGTATAGTCCCTTTATATAAAGGGAAAGGGGACAAAAGAGACTGTAAAAGTTATAGAGGAATAAGTTTGCTGAGTATACCAGGAAAAGTGTACGGTAGGGTTATAATTGAAAGAATTAGAGGTAAGACAGAATGTAGGATTGCGGATGAGCAAGGAGGTTTCAGAGTGGGTAGGGGATGTGTAGATCAAGTGTTTACATTGAAGCATATATGTGAACAGTATTTAGATAAAGGTAGGGAAGTTTTTATTGCATTTATGGATTTAGAAAAGGCATATGATAGAGTGGATAGAGGAGCAATGTGGCAGATGTTGCAAGTATATGGAATAGGTGGTAAGTTATTAAATGCTGTAAAGAGTTTTTATGAGGATAGTGAGGCTATGGTTAGGGTGTGTAGAAGAGAGGGGGACTACTTCCCGGTAAAAGTAGGTCTTAGACAGGGATGTGTAATGTCACCATGGTTGTTTAATATATTTATAGATGGGGTTGTAAAGGAAGTAAATGCTAGGGTGTTCGGGAGAGGGGTGGGATTAAATTTTGGGGAATCAAATTCAAAATGGGAATTGACACAGTTACTTTTTGCTGATGATACTGTGCTTATGGGAGATTCTAAAGAAAAATTGCAAAGGTTAGTGAATGAGTTTGGGAATGTGTGTAAAGGTAGAAAGTTGAAAGTGAACATAGAAAAGAGTAAGGTGATGAAGGTGTCAAATGATTTAGATAAAGAAAAATTGGATATCAAATTGGGGAGGAGGAGTATGGAAGAAGTGAATGTTTTCAGATACTTGGGAGTTGACGTGTCGGCGGATGGATTTATGAAGGATGAGGTTAATCATAGAATTGATGAGGGAAAAAAGGTGAGTGGTGCGTTGAGGTATATGTGGAGTCAAAAACGTTATCTATGGAGGCAAAGAAGGGAATATATGAAAGTATAGTAGTACCAACACTCTTATATGGGTGTGAAGCTTGGGTGGTAAATGCAGCAGCGAGGAGATGGTTGGAGGCAGTGGAGATGTCCTGTTTAAGGGCAATGTGTGATGTAAATATTATGCAGAAAATTCGGAGCGTGGAAATTAGGAAAAGGTGTGGAGTTAATAAAAGTATTAGTCAGAGGGCAGAAGAGGGGTTGTTGAGGTGGTTTGGTCATTTAGAGAGAATAGATCAAAGTAGAATGACATGGAAAGCATATAAATCTATAGGGGAAGGAAGGCGGGGTAGGGGTCGTCCTCGAAAGGGTTGGAGAGAGGGGCTAAAGGAGGTTTTGTGGGCAAGGGGCTTGGACTTCCAGCAAGCGTGCGTGAGCGTGTTAGATAGGAGTGAATGGAGACAAATGGTACTTGAGACCTGACGATCTGTTGGAGTGTGAGCAGGGTAATATTTAGTGAAGGGATTCAGGGAAACCGGTTATTTTCATTTAGTCGGACTTGAGTCCTGGAAATGGGAAGTACAATGCCTGCACTTTAAAGGAGGGGTTTGGGATATTGGCAGTTTGGAGGGATATGTTGTGTATCTTTATATGTGTATGCTTCTAAACTGTTGTATTCTGAGCACCTCTGCAAAAACAGTGATAATGTGCGAGTGTGGTGAAAGTGTTGAATGATGATGAAAGTATTTTCTTTTTGGGGATTTTCTTTCTTTTTTTTTTGGTCACCCTGCCTCGGTGGGAGACGGCCGACTTGTTGGAAAAAAAAAAAAAAATCTAACTTGAAGCATATGTGTATGATACTGGACTGTCACTGCTTTGTAATTGTGCACTGACTATTCTTTCTAACTGTTTTGATACAGGGTTCTTTATAATTTAACCATTATATATGTAGTAGAACATAAGAAAGAAGGAACACTGCAACAGGCCTACTGACCCATGCGGAGCAGGTCCATCAACCCCCCCCTCCCCGATAGCCCAATGAGCCACCCAGTCTGGTCAGGTCATATTCACTTAAGGAAGGAGCACGGCACCAGACCCAGCAGCACAGGTTTTAGCTAATATTATTTTGGCAAGTAGAGAAGTATCTAAAGGACACGTCTAGGTAGATACAATTCTCATTGCTCAGTTAACTCCAGGAATGAATGGAAGATGGTTGAGCATAAGACAAGGCTTGTGGCCACCCAACCATATGTTAGGCATATTGAAATATTCTTCACCAATGTTTACTCAAATTTTCTGTTTTTTTTAATATTTTGAGATTAGTTCAAATAGTATCAGTGCTAATTTTTTATTAACTTTTTGATTGTATAACAACATAATCAAACAAAACATGATCATGCAACACAAGTATTTACAGTATTGTGTTATTTGATTGTTCCAGAGGGAGACTTGTTAAAACTGGGTGCCACAGGGAAGAAGCTGACTGAACGTCATGTGTTCCTCTTTGATGGTTTAATAGTTCTTTGTAAGAGCAATAACAGAAGATCATCAGTCACTGGCCAGGTTAGTGAGAATATGACTGGTGTAGCAGAGTTACCACTTAATCAGCTCAACCATCATTGCTCTTTTGTTGTTGTGGTGTGTACATGCCAGTTCTAGCATGTACACCCACCCATCTCTAGTTAAGAATTTTTTTTTTTTTTTGTCAACATATACCCTTTTCATCTGTCACCGGTCCTTGATCATTGCATAATTTCATGTCATTACTTGGGAGTACAGAAAGTCCTCACTTAACGTCATCAATAGGTTCTTGGAAACTGTGATTTCAAGCGAAATGACGTATAGCGAAACCAATTTTACCATAGGCTAATTGATATAAACAAGAGCTCTTCCAATATCCACACCTCGCTGTCCATTGTCAAGCCTCTTTAAAACTTCTAGTGTTGTTTTTAATGTCACACTTTTTCTGTTTTTTTGTGGCCATAGACATCAAGGGTGCACAGTGTACCTTTAGCACTCATTACAACAGGGTTACACCAAGGAATAAATGTTCGCAAGGCAAAAATTGCAAGGAGCACCTCCTACCACCACTCAGTTAAAAAAACAAACGATAACAAATATGGCCGGTTCACTGAGCGTTTTTGTACTGCATTGGTAAAAGTATACAATACAATGCATTGCTTAAAGTATACAATAATCATGCATTTGTATGATTATTGTATACTTGTATATTTATATTTTACAAAAATTTTTATTCATTCATTCACTCATTTTCCAACCCTCTTATTCCAGTTCAGGGTTATGGGTGGCCAGAGCCTATCCTGACAGCTCAGGGCATAAAGCAGGAACAAACCCACATTCACTCTCACACACCCACATTCACTCATACTGCCAATTAAGATAATGTGCACATCTTTGGGATGTAGGAGGAAACCGGAGTACCCAGAGAAAACCCACGCATACATGGGGAGAACGTGCATACTCCACACAGACGTTGGCTCCCTCCAGGAATTGATTTTTTTCATCAGCGTTATAATAAAACGAGTTATTTGTGGACCTGCTGTACACTTAATTTCTCTGAATTTGTTCATGCTTGGTCTTGCTCACACTCCAACAGCACATCCATCCATAAAAATCACTTCTTCATTCTCGCTGATCTAACATTCTCATACAAGCCTATTGGATGCTCAAGTCCCAGTTACTACCAATTATTCCTCATCCTGCCTACATCCTCCCTTCTATTCCTATACACTTCTGCTTACATTAGCACTGCATTCTTCATCTACCCATATCTGTTTGACCTCATTACCTGTACTCATAGGCCATCTTTTGCTCAGTAATTGTCCACATATTTTTTTTTTTTTTTTTTTTTCAACAAGTTGGTCGTCTCCCACCGAGGCAGGGTGACCCAAAAAAAGAAAGAAAATCCCCAAAAAGAAAATACTTTCATCATCATTCAACACTTTCACCACACTCACACATTATCACTGCTTTTGCAGAGGTGCCCAGAATACAACAGTTTAGAAGCATATACGTATAGAGATACACAACATATCCCTCCAAACTGCCAGTATCCCAAACCACTCCTTTAAAGTGCAGGCATTGTACTTCCCATTTCCAGGACTCAAGTCCGACTATATGAAAATAACCGGTTTCCCTGAATCCCTTCACTAAATATTACCCTGCTCACACTCCAACAGATCGTCAGGTAACATATCTTCACCTAACTCTTTTGGTTCATTCACTTTCAATTCTCTTTCATAAACTGATTCCATTTTCTTATTTTTCATCTGCCTCTTACTCTCAGTCACTCTAAAAGCATTCACATTCAAATGTCTGCCTTTTATTTGCTAATACATAGTCTAACATACTGTTGTCATTTACCCCAGGGACTCCAAACTGACCTACTTTACCATCCAAAAAAATAAGTACTCAGTGAAATGTCATTTTATTAATTACAGTTGTTACTATAGTTTTGTTAGAAATTTTATCTGGTTCATCCTTTGTATCCTAGAACAGAGGGAGACTGGTATATACATTTACTGTATATGTAATGATGCTTTTGAATATCTTTCAGAACTGGAAAATTGTTGCCAACTATTTTTCCCATTTCTGGAAAGTGTTTGGATATTCAGTTTTCAGAAGATCTGTGAATTTTTGTAATGTTACTGTATGTTTTTCTGTTGTTGAATTGTTTACAAATCATATTGTTTCTTTCAGATCGGAGAATACAGATTTAAGGAAAAATTTCTAATGAGGATGGTAGAGATTTTGGACCGAGAAGATACTGAAGGTAATATTGGCATTTTTTGAGTGCATACATGTACACTTATGTGCATGTGTGTGTACATGTGTGTGTGTGTGTGTGTGTTCATATTAGTATAGTTAAGTTGTGTAGATTTAAAATAATTATTATTTCATCTTATGTTGGAATAGATATGGAAAGAAAACAAAATTCAGACCTACTGTAGTAAAATTTTTGCAAGAGATGTATATTTTTGATTATGACCAACTTGTCTTCAACAGGGTTAATAAAACTGTTGTATATCAGATATTTTAAGTTCATTACATTTTTTACAAATCACATTATAATCTATGAATGAGTTTACTGTAAATTTGCACTAACATAGTTTGGGGGTTTTGGAACAGAGGTGAAACACTCATTTGAGATTCGGCCAAGGGACCAGCCTAGTGTAGTGCTACTTGCCAAGTCAGCGGAAGAAAAGAATACCTGGATGGCTGCTCTCGTTATGCTCAACACTCGCAGGTAACATATCAGTATAATATATGATGAGGTTGGAATAAGCTACAGTGTCCTACCACACTTACTCCTTCCATGATAGGAGGAAGTGGTTGTAGTAGGAATAGTAAAATGAAGAGGGTGATAATGCATAAAATTAAACTTTTGGTAATCTAAATGGTTTTAAGAAAATGGAAGTTGAACTAGATAGTATATAGAGAATATGTGAGTAAAGTGCAAAGCAAAGCCAAATAGGTAAAGGCATGTATGTAATGCTATCTTGAATGATGAAGAAAGTGTTGATTGCAGTTTGCCTCTGGCAAAATAGTGATAGTGTGAATGATGGTGAATGTGTTTCTTTTTGGGTCACCCTGCCTCGATGGGAGACGGCCAGCGTGTTAAAAAAAAGAATGTGGTTTTGTATAGTGTATTGTGTACATTAATAATTTATTAGTGATTTATTATTAACAAAAATTCTCAACTTTTTACAGTATGTTAGAACGAATTTTAGACAGTATATTATTAGATGAAGAGAAACAGCATCCCTTGAGACTTCCAGACCCTTCAGTATACCAGTTTGCCATCCAAGACTCAGAGTCAAATATTATTATTGAAGAAAAAGAAAACTCAGGGACTCCACTTATAAAGGTGAGTAATTACAGTAATTCATGTTTAGGAAAATAGTGAAATTTAAAATTTCTCTTATTTCATTAATTTAGTATTCACTTATAAAATAGATGTTCCATATTTTCTTGATGTTAAAACCAATGGAAAAATGCTGAAATATTAATAAATGAAAGACACGGCCTATGATGTATACTGATAAGGCTTTTGTTTTAGGGAGCAACTCTGCCGAAACTGGTCGAGCGGTTAACATACCACATGTATGCAGATCCCATGTTCGTACGCACATTTCTTACAACCTATCGAAGTTTTTGCACGCCAATGGTAAGTAGAGTCTGAGATTGTGGTCCTGAAATAAATTTAGGTATTAAAACTGGAAGAAAAAGTATAAGCAGTGTAATGTACGGTATATACAGCCTCTCCTCGCTTAACGACGGAGTTCTGTTCCTAAGACCTCGTCAGTAAATGAATTCGTCGCTAAGCAAGGAGCATACTATGATGGTAGTGGGTTTGCGTCAACCATCTCTGATATTGTTTTAATATCACCTTTGCACCTTTATAACATTTTTAGTATATTTTTAAATGTTTATACAGTAGTGTACTGTATATTGTAATAAACGGAATACAGTGGTACCTCGGGATATGATTTTATTTCATTCCAGAAGGCTGTTTGAGTGCTGATACCGAACGAATTTTCTCCCATAAGGAATAATGTAAATTAGATTAATCCATTTCAGACCCCCAAAAATGCACCTACAAAAGCACATACACAAATCTTTCTTTCAACACACCGGCTGTATCCCACCGAGGCGGGGTGGCCCAAAAGGAAAAATGAAAGATTCTCTTTTTACATTTAGTAATATATACAGGAGAAAAGGTTACTAGCCCCTTGCTCCTGGCATTTTAGTCGCCTCTTACATCACGCATGGCTTATGGAGGAAGAATTCTGTTCCACTTCCCCATGGAGGTAAGAGGAAATAAACAAGAACAAGAACTAGTAAGAAAATAGAAGAAAACCCAGAGGGGTGTGTGTATATATATATATATATATATATATATATATATATATATCTTTCTTTCAACACACCGGCCGTATCCCACCGAGGCGGGGTGGCCCAAAAGGAAAAACGAAAGTTTCTCCTTTTACTTTTAGTAATATAAAACAGGAGAAGAGGTTACTAGCCCTTGCTCCCGGATTTTAGTCGCCTCTTACAAAAAGCATGGCTTACGGAGGAAGAATTCTGTTCCACTTCCCCATGGAGATAAGAGGAAATAAACAAAAATAAGAACTAGAAAGAAAATAGAAGAAAACCCAGAGGGATGTGTATATATGTGCTTGTACATGTATGTGTAGTGTGACCTAAGTGTAAGTAGAAGTAGCAAGATGTACCTGAAACCTTGCATGTTTATGAGACAGAAAAATGGACACCAGCAATCCTACCATCATGTAAAACAATTACAGGCTTTCGTTTTACACTCACTTGGCAGGACGGTAGTACCTCCCTGGGTGGTTGCTGTCTACCAGCCTACCACCTACAACGTACACAAATACACTTACATAATTGTTCGAGTTTTGAGCTGTTTGTATCCCAAGGTACCACTGTAGAGGAAATCAGCTCTAATACATACATTATGTAGGTATGCATACTCATCAGAGAGCCCGTGGTAAGTCTGAATCGTTGGTAAATAAGTACGTCGCTAAAGGAGGAGAGGCTGTGTATCACACTAAAACCTTTGCTCTCATCATTACTGATATCCTTTAATTATCTTGTTGTAAATTTTAGCAAGGTGACATGTTCAGAATTTTTACATGATATTACTATGAAGAGCCTAAAGTTTAACTTCATTTGTTCAAACCTTATAAATACATTTGATGAAGTTGGCATGCTATTTTAGTTTTCATAGAAGTAAAAAAATTGATACCTGCAATTTTTATGTAAACAAATACATTATTGTTTTACACCCTCTTCAGGAATTGCTAGAACTCTTGATACAACGCTTTGACATCCCTGAACCTGTACTTCCACCTGTAAGTGAAGAAGAAACGCAAGAGGTGAAAAATCAGCAAACGTCTATACACAGAGAGATTCTTAAACGCTTTCGCAAGGAATACTCACAGCCAGTTCAGTTTAGGTAATGTATGTTATTACCATTACATTTAGATAATTACTGTTAAATTATGAAGCAAGTGTGTAGATAAATTATGTATTTTTAAAAGTAAGTATATTAAAAGCTGAATTTTTTAAATTGTATGTGAGTGTTTTGCACCAAATGCCTAAGCATACATGTATCGATATACATGCACATACATATGTGGGCATTTGTGTATCCATATATATATATATATATATATTTTTTTTTTCAACAAGTCGGTCGTCTCCCACCGAGGCAGGGTGACATAAAAAGAAAGAAAATCCCCAAAAAGAAAATACTTTCATCATCATTCAACACTTTCACCACACTCACACATTATCACTGCTTTTGCAGAGGTGCTCAGAATACAACAGCTTAGAAGCATATACGTATAAAGATACACAACATATCCCTCCAAACTGCCAATATCCCAAACCCCTCCTTTAAAGTGCAGGCATTGTACTTCCCATTTCCAGGACTCAAGTCCGACTATATGAAAATAACCGGTTTCCCTATTTATTTTTTTTTTTTTATTACACACTGGCCGATTCCCACCAAGGCAGGGTGGCCCGAAAAAGAAAACTTTTCACCATCATTCACTCCATCACTGTCTTGCCAGAAGGGTGCTTTACACTACAGTTTTTAAACTGCAACATTAACACCCCTCCTTCAGAGTGCAGGCACTGTACTTCCCATCTCCAGGACTCAAGTCCGGCCTGCCGGTTTCCCTGAATCCCTTCATAAATGTTACTTTGCTCACACTCCAACAGCACGTCAAGTATTAAAAACCATTTGTCTCCATTCACTCCTATCAAACACGCTCACGCATGCCTGCTGGAAGTCCAAGCCCCTCGCACACAAAACCTCCTTTACCCCCTCCCTCCAACCCTTCCTAGGCCAACCCCTACCCCGCCTTCCTTCCACTACAGACTGATACACTCTTGAAGTCATTCTGTTTCGCTCCATTCTCTCTACATGTCCGAACCACCTCAACAACCCTTCCTCAGCCCTCTGGACAACAGTTTTGGTAATCCCGCACCTCCTCCTAACTTCCAAACTACGAATTCTCTGCATTATATTCACACCACACCATTGCCCTCAGACATGACATCTCCACTGCCTCCAGCCTTCTCCTCGCTGCAACATTCATCACCCACGCTTCACACCCATATAAGAGCGTTGGTAAAACTATATCTCATACATTCCCCTCTTTGCTCCAAGGACAAAGTTCTTTGTCTCCACAGACTCCGAAGTGCACCACTTACTCTTTTTCCTCATCAATTCTATGATTCACCTCATCTTTCATAGACCCATCCGCTGACACGTCCACTCCCAAATATCTGAATACGTTCACCTCCTCCATACTCTCTCCCTCCAATCTGATATTCAAACTTTCATCACCTAATCTTTTTGTTATCCTCATAACCTTACTCTTTCCTGTATTCACCTTTAATTTTCTTCTTTTGCACACCCTACCAAATTCATCCACCAATCTCTGCAGCTTCTCTTCAGAATCTCCCAAGAGCACAGTGTCATCAGCAAACAGCAGCTGTGACAACTCCCACTTTGTGTGTGATTCTTTATCCCTAAATCCCTTCACTAAATATTACCCTGCTCACACTCCAACAGATCGTCAGGTCCCAAGTACCATTCGTCTCCATTCACTCCTATCTAACACGCTCACGCACGCTTGCTGGAAGTCCAAGCCCCTTTAATTGAGCTATGTGTAGAAAGAAATTTGGTAATAAGTAATACATATTTTATGAAAAAGAGGATAAATAAATATACAAGGTATGATGTAGCACGTAATGAAAGTATTATTAGATTATGTATTGGTGGATAAAAGGTTGATGGGTAGGCTCCAGGATGTACATGTTTATAGAGGGGCAACTGATATATCGGATCATTATTTAGTTGTAGTACAGTTAGAGTAAGAGGTAGATGGGAAAAGAGGAAGGTGGCAACAACAAGTAAGAGGGGGGTTTGGAAAGTGTTAAACAAAGGGGAGGAGGAAGTTGGGGTGAGATATAAGCGACTATTGGCAGAAAGGTGGGTAGTGCAAAGATGAGTAGTGGGGGGGTTGAAGAGGGTTTGGAAATAGTTTTAAAAATGCAGAAATTTAGAATGAGGGGCAGAAGTTTGTGGTTATAGGAGGGTGGGGGCAGGAGGAAAGAGGAGTGATTGGGGGGAAATGATGAATTTAAAGGGTGTGATAAAAGAAAAAAAGGGTTTAGCTTATGAGAGGTTTTTACAAAGCAGAAGTGTTATAAGAAGAGCAGAGTATATGGAGAGTAAAGAAAGGTAAAGAGAGTGGTGAGAGAGTGCAAAAGGAGAGCAGATGATAGAGTGGGAGAGGGCAAATGTCAAGAAATTTTTTAAAGAAAATAAGAAAAAATTTTGGAGTGAGTTAAAACAAGTTAAGAAAGCCTAGGGAAAATATGGATTTGTCAGTTAAAAAAAAGAGTAGGGGAGTTAGTAGATGGGGATGGAGGTATTTGGGTAGATGGCGGAGAATTTTTTTGAGGAAAATTTTAATGTTAAGGAAGAAAGAGAGGCAGTAATTTCATGCACTGGTCAGGGAGGTATACCCTCTTTTAGGAGTGAAGAGAGCAGAATTTTAAGTGTGGGGGAGGTTTCGTGAGGCATTAGTAAAATGAAAGGGGGTAAAGCAGCTGGAACTGATGGGATCATGACAGAAATGTTTAAAAGCAGGGGGGGATATAGTGTTTGGAGTGGTTGGTACTTTGTTTAATAAATGTAAAGAAAGAGGGGAAGGTACCTAGGGATTTTGGCAGAGAGCATGTATAGTCCTTTATATAAAGGGAAAAGGGGACAAAAGAGGACTGTAAATTATAGGGAATAAACTTATGAGTATACCAGAAAGTGTACGGTAGGGTTATAAAATTGAAAAGAATTAGAGGTAAGACAGAATGTAGGATTTGCGGATGAGCAGGAGGTTTAGAGTGGGAGGGGTGTGTAGATCAGGGTTTACATTGAGCATATATGTGACGTATTTTTGATAAGATAGGGAAGTTTTTATTGCATTTATGGATTTAGAAAAGGCATATGATAGAGTGGATGAGGAGCAATGTGGCAGATGTTGCAAGTATATGGAATGTGGTTAAGTTATTAAATGCTGTAAAGAGTTTTTTTTGAGGATAGTGAGGTCAGGTTGGGTGTGTAGAAGAGAGGGAGACTACTTCCCGGTAAAAGTAGGTCTTAGACAGGGATGTTAATGTTCACCATGGTTGTTCAATATATTTATAGATGGGGTTGTAAAGAAGTAAAATGCTAGGGTTTGTTTGGGAGAGGGGTGGGATTTAAATTATGGGGAATAAAATTCAAAAATGGGAATTGACACAGTTCTTTTTGCTGATGATACTGTGCTTATGGGAGATTTAAAGAAAAATTGAAAAGGTTAGTGGATGAGTTTGGGAAAATGTGTGTAAAGGTAGAAAGTTGAAAGTGAAAAATAGAAAAGAGTAAGGTGATTGAGGGTGCAAATGATTTAGATAAAGAAAAATTGGATATCAAATTGGGGAGGAGGGGTATGGAAGAAGTGAATGTTTTCAGATACTTGGGAGTTGACGTGTCGGGGATGGATTTATGAAGGATGAGGTTAATCATAGAATTGATGAGGGAAAAAAGGTGAGTGGTGCGTTGAGGTATATGTGGAGTCAAAAACGTTATCTATGGAGGCAAGAAGGAATGTATGAAAGTATAGTAGTACCAACACTCTTATATGGGTGTGAAGCTTGGGTGGTAATGCAGCAGCGAGGAGACGGTTGGAGGCAGTGGAGATGTCCTGTTTAAGGGCATGTGTGGTGTAAATATTATGCAGAATATTCGGAGTGTGGAAATTAGGAGAGGTGTGGGAGTTAATAAAAGTATTAGTCAGAGGGCAGAAGAGGGGTTGTTGAGGTGGTTTGGTCATTTAGAGAGAATGGATCAAAGTAGAATGACATGGAAAGCTCTATAAATCTATAGGGGAAGGAAGGCGGGGTAGGGGTCATCCTCGAAAGGGTTGGAGAGAGGGGGTAAAGGAGGTTTTGTGGGTAAGGGCTTGGACTTCCAAGCAAGCGTGCGTGAGCGTGTTAGATAGGAGTGAATGGAGATGAATGGTACTTGGGACCTGACGATCTGTTGGAGTGTGAGCAGGGTAATATTTAGTGAAGGGATTCAGGGAGGAAACTGGTTATTTTCATATAGTCGGACTTGAGTCCTGGAAATGGGAAGTACATTGCCTGCACTTTAAAGGAGGGGTTTGGGATATTGGCAGTTTGGAGGGATATGTTGTGTATCTTTATATGTGTATGCTTCTAGACTGTTGTATTCTGAGCACCTCTGCAAAAACAGTGATAATGTGCGAGTGTGGTGAAGTGTTGAATGATGATGAAAGTATTTTCTTTTTGGGGATTTTCTTTCTTTTTTGGGTCACCCTGCCTCGGTGGGAGACGGCCAACTTGTTGAAAAAAAAAAAAAAAAAAAAAAAATATATATATATATATATATATATTTTTTTTTTTTTTTTTTTCAACAAGTCGGTCGTCTCCCACCGAGGCAGGGTGACCCAAAAAAAAAGAAAGAAAATCCCCAAAAAGAAAATACTTTTAGGTAGTAGGTTGGTAGACAGCAACCACCCAGGGAGGTACTACCGTCCTGCCATTGAGTGTAAAACGAAAGCCTGTAATTGTTTTACATGATGGTAGGATTGCTGGTGTCTTTTGTCTGTCTCATAAATATGCAAGATTACAGGTACGTCTTGCTACTTCTACTTACACTTAGGTCACACTACACATACATGTACATGTTTATTTATACACACTCATCTGAGTTTTCTTTGATTTTATCTTAATAGTTCTTGGTCTTATTACTTTTCCTTTTATATCCATGGGGAAGTGGAATAAGAATCTTTCCTCCGTAAGCCATGCGTGTTGTAAAAGTCAACTAAAATGCCGGGAACAATGGGCTAGTTACCCCTTTTCCTGTAAAGATTACTA